TTTTCATTTTCAGAAAACATTTTTAAGTTAAGGAACTCACTGATACCAGAATGAGAGTATAAAGTTATGTGAAAAGTTTGACATTCTGGTTTAGAGGGGAAAGATACCTTCATCTGTGTAATACATCAGTCATACTGTCAGAATTGCTTTTGAATAGTCAGTGGTAAAGTTCTAGAAATGAACAATCTGAATTATATTTGATAGAAAATTGATGAAGTTGTTGGAAATAGTGTAACAGCTCTAAGAGAATATCTTAATTGATTAAACCTGTAATTAAAGAGTGAGGGGGCAACATGATTGTTTTGGTAACTTGTAAACTGCAGTTTATAGAGATGGGAAGGAATGGAGTATCAAATTTCACCTTATAGCACTGAACAGCCAAAGGCCACAGTGAACTGCTGTGTAATATTACAGTCAGAACTATGATGCACTGTGGTAACTTTTTTTTTGAGACTGTTTTTTGAATTGAAATGCAAGTCAAAACTACAGAATTGAAGGTGGCAGAGAACAAAGACATAAGGATAATGTTAAAAACACTCCAGAGCCTGTTGACATTATGATTCAGTTTTAACTTGTCGTTTTATTTCTGATGTTTTTCTTGACAGAAGATGTTTAAAATTGCTACACACTTTGGGACGTGAAATTTGGGATTTTCTAACTTCCATGTTTTATTTCAATGTCTTTTGGTCCTTTGGCTTGTTGTATCAGGCCAAGGGGGGTTTGCCCGAGTCTTGGGCCAAGTTGTCCTGAGAGCTTGAACATCCTGTGATGTGCATAAGACAGGCTTCTGTTGTGTAGGAAGTCTAGAAGAAACAGATTCAGACTAAACTCCTTGTCTGGTTTAAAAATTAAAAAAACAAAACAAAACCAACAACTAAAAAATGGATTTGGGACAGCAATGATTAGTTTGCTTTCACTGTGTTGCAGTTCGGTAAGAAAATACTGCCCAGTGCTAGCTGTTGGATGTTGAGTCCATTTTTCTGCATGCTAATATACTAATAGGTTTTGTGGACCTAAATCTGAATTTGCTAATATGGAATTTACATAAATGGCTCTAATTTACATAACAGTATTTTAGAAATTCAGTGCCTGACATTGATTTTCTGCCAAGTGGGAGCATTGTAACAGATGGTGGAATTTTCCACCAGCCAGGTGATAACCACTGTAAAGGAGGTATTTGTCTTCCTGTAAGTCCTTGGCTTAAGGAAGAGGTTTGGTTATGCTGCAGAATTGTCCTAGAGTATTTTTTACAATTTAACTTATCCAATTTGTTGTCATATGGAGTAATATGAATGCATGATTATGAATGAATCTTAAATAATCTGATTTTCAGCTTTTCCTGTCAATTTTCACCCTTTCATCATTATGTCAATTGACAGGAAAATGTGTGGATAAGCTTCTGTCAGGAGTAACGTAGTGACAGTTCAAGCATTTGGTGCTATTATGTGCCGTGCAATAGAAATGTAGTATAAAGTATTTGCAATTTTTCTTGGACTGGGGAGTAGTGGAGTAGTAAATTGCTCTTGAATGGTAGGGAGCAAATATTCTCTCAGGAGATGCTTGGCTTCTGTCATTCAGGTTGTGCTGGCTGGAGAACAAGAACAGATGGCAGCTGGCAGCGTAGCAGCAGGTGCAGCAGCAGTAAAACCAGACTGTTGTCCTCTGATTAGGTCATGTCAAGGTTTTTACCATTTCTTTTCAGATTTCCTTGATGATGACTGGGCACTCTGCTATTCCTCTTTGCATGTTAGGAGTTAGTTCTCGTGGATTTTTCACCCTTAGCAGTAGGGAAGTTCATTTATGTATTTTTTTAAAGTGTGTATGACACACATGATCAACACAAGCAACTTCACTTTCAGTTTTTCTCCAGATCAGCATGGAGGATGATGTGCCTGTGGGTTAATACAGGTGAGGACTCTCACTGAAGAACAGGAGTCTGGAAGAGCTGTTGGTAAATGAGCTGTTGAGAGTTGAGTGCTACAGTTTGCCTTTATGTGAGGATGTCAAGCTTTGTATGTTCATATTCTAGAAGCAATTGAAAATAATTATCAGAAGAGCCTCATTTCTTATCAGAATTGAGTAGAAAACCTACCTGTTGACATCTACAGAAATAAGCTTGAATTCCAGGGAAATGAGTCTTTACGAAGAAATTAAGTGTACCTCCAATCATTTCACAGCACAGAAGCAAGTTTTTTACTGTTGTGGAGCAAATAGATCTTGCACTGTCAGTTCAGTTGACTGGATGTAAACTGTGCAAGTCTTCTCTGTCTGCCATTTCCACTCCTACTGCTTTAGGGTTGGCCTGCTCCTAGTACTGGTAGAGCTTCACAAGTGAGAGGAAACAAAGTGGTATCCACCATTTAGCCTTACTTTAGCTTTACTGTTTTTTTCTTATTGTCTGATAATATTTTATGAGGATCTAATTTAACATGCACTAGAAGGCGAGTTCTTATCTTGGAGGTGTTTGTCACTTCAGACTGTGCTGGGTGTTGGAAGTCTGTAATACATTATGCTTAGAGTTCAAAATCTGCTTCATAACCACAGATAGTGGAACCTTCCTGAAATGAAAGTGGTTTGCAGAATCTGAGCATTTCCTGCGGGCCAGGCCCAACCAGGGACTATCGCTTTCTTTCTTCGTGGTTAGCTCTTGAAAATATCTTCAAACAGCTGAAAGCTTCTGAATGTCTAGAAAAGCCTTTTTCAGTTCTAGGTCATATTTGGTCTTATTCTTTCTGGACATTATCATGTAAATAATATCTCCTTGTATGGTGGTGGGACACACATGTCCTACTGGAAGAGAGGGCATTTGTGTATTCATCCTCTGGAGCCCATCAGATCTTTTTCCCTGTGTTTAAACCTAACAAAGTGCATTTTAGAAATAGGATGGGAAGACTTCTTTTTTTATTTTTAAACTTACAAAGAGAAAAAAGTACCTGTGTGTGGTTGTATTAAAAGCAGAGCAAAACACATCAATTTATGTGAAATTATAGCTCTCTTTCTTGTCATTATTAGCTTTCTTGTTACATCTTCTGGATTGAACCCTTAGTGCATGCCTCCCAGTGCAGGAATTTGTGTATCTCCAACAAAACTGGATGCAGTGCGTGCTGACCATTTCTGGGAGCTGGGGTGTAATCACATCCTTGGATATATTGTCTGCTTGTTCTGCCAGTGTGGTTAAACACTGCCTTGTGTGTTTTGATTATGGTGTGTTGGGTGTTTGACCATTGTTTGATATGTGTGGAATTTGTCAGGTTCATTTGGACTTAGCTTTGTCCAAAATACCAGCTTCCGTGTCATCTTTTTATGTCTGTTCATCTCTTTGGGGCTTAAGGCTTTTGTTTTGCATTCCTGATCCATCTGGTTGTGACTTCTTTGCAGCTCTCTATATGTTGTGTGTTTGAAATTGTCACTGTAGTAACACACAGAGGCAGGTCACCTCTGTCTTTTGGAGCTCTGGTCTGTTGTCCTTCTTGGCACCTGAAGGACGACTTCTTTGAAATCCATTAAATATAATGAAAGTGTCAAACATCTAAGATCCTTGGATGAGCTGGTACAAGGCTTAGTACAAGTATATGGGAGAGTCATCTTTTTTTTTCCTTTTGCTTTGTTCGAAGGATAGTTTTGGTCAGCTTAGTTTTCCTGGGATACAGGATGCTGTTGGGTGTTCTGACAAGAGAAAGCCTATCCTAATGTAACTGCCTTGGCATGAACTTTGCAGACTCCATCTGGATTAGGCTCTGCTAGTTTGGCTTCCTTTCCCCCCCCATTCCAGATTCCATGCCCAATTTGGTCCTGGTTTCCCCCATTGTTTGATGTCACCACTTCTTGGAGCTGTTTATAGTTATGCAATATTAAATAAAAGGTAATTAAATGATGGCTCCTGAATTGCTTTTTAGAGGGCTCTGCTGAGTAGTATGTTGGGTTTGAGTTGCACTACACACCTGTAGTATTTACCTGTGGAATTTGCATATGATGTGTTTGGAAAGGAGTTTGTAGCAGAAGAGATTGGGGGTCAGTAGTGGGGAGAAAGTTCTTTCAGCAACAAAACTGTCTAAGCCCCCGTTCTGCTACCGATTGGTACAATTTAGTGTGAAACAGAAAATCTACTTTTGTTTCTGTATAAGGTACCAAGAATATGCCCTCGTATTGGTGTATTGGTATAAATATCTGTATTGGTATTTATCCCTATGAGTTTGAACCTATTTTGTATGAGTGTTTGATAATAAGGACATGTGAGAATGTGCTTTGGTTTGGGCTGACCTGTCCTGAAGATGCATGCATTGTGTAAGCTACCTGCAAAGACTTTATTTTTGTAACATGGAAATTAGGTAGAAGGTACCTAGATGGATTTGTCCCTGGGTATGGGTGGTGCTGTTCACTTCACTGGTGCTCTGAATTTAAGTAAAAAGTGACTTGCTCCATTTGATGGAAGCAGGGGAAGAGCAGCGTGTATTTGTTTGTGGCATAGTAATTTTAATATAATCCGATATTCCTCTACAGTGCCTGACACTCACAGCAAGCAGTGCTGCGCTGCTGGTAAAAATAGATTGGACTTACCATGACCTTTTAAAAATGCTCCTAATACAGTAGCACAGGCTTTGCCTTAGAACATCTGACTTTTAATTCTGATTGTGAAGTCAAGTGAGGTAAGTAGAATTGGGATCGACTGTAAATGTCTTAGCCACTTAGCAAATCCTCTTGAAGAACCATACTTGCTTGCCACCTGCTTTTTACTGAGGATATGTGGGATGATTACTGGCGTGTTATGAGGTGATGTCCCTCACCCAGGCAGCCTCTCTCACCACTGGTTTGGTACCCAGGAATCCTCTCCCCAGCACCAAAACACTGATGACTCTGAAAGCACGTTGGTTAAACTGCTTACTGGGGTAGAACAGTTCTGGTGTGTGTGCTTTCCGCTGTGATTCTGTGGCTTACGCGGGCAGGATGTGAACAGCGGTTTGAAAGGCTCACGGTTTATGGAGCTTTTGTTTTTTCCACAGTTTTCAGTTGACCAAAGAAATGGTGATGGAGAAGCCAAGTCCCCTGCTGGTCGGGCGGGAATTCGTGAGGCAGTACTATACCCTGCTGAACCAAGCACCTGACTATTTGCACAGGTAAAGCTCTGCTTCACTTTGATCTCTTTTTCTGTGTGGATTTCTCAGTTTGTGTGTTAAAAGTGGTGAATGAGCTTATCACCGTGTCTTGGCTTGCTGAATTTGGACACTTAAAATCTGATTTATTTGAGCCAGACTCTGGGTGTAGTTTGCTTTCGGTTTTGATCAGCTGGATTAAAACAGGAATAATAAAGATTACAGGAGTTCTTTAAATATCTGAGTTCTGGCTGTTATTGAAATGCTGCTAGACATGTATTCTAAGCAGAAAAGAAGAAAATGTAAATCAAAAACGTGTTGCTTGCTTCTTCTGGTTGTAATCAATATAAATCGAAGTTGGATAAACATTATTTAGTTAAGCATTTCTCTAGTTTTGCCTTGATACAATGCCCCCAGACTACGAGGAAACAAGGAAAATGTTGTATGCTTGTGTAGTGGTATCTCTCAGGATTCGTACCAGCAGCTCTTTCTTAAAGGAAAGTCAGGGAAATGAGGAATATACAGCAAACTACAGTCTGTTATCTAAACAAATCAATCCCCTTTGATTTGACAGGTATCCTATGTTCTGGAACTAACCTCGTTTATGAAGATGTGCTTTGTTTTGATGTGCTTTCAATAGCCAGACAATTTCTAAAACCTTCTTCCTTCCAATCACTTATTCAGAGTGTTTCTCTGCTTAGGTGGACAGCTGACCTTGTCCATTTGGGTCAGAGGAAAGTTCACAGTGTGCCATGGAATTCAGTTCTAGTCTTTTATCTGCTGGCAGAGTGCAGCCCTGTGATGCTTATGGCATTTTAGCTCATAATCCCTCAGTTACAGAAAGGAGGATTGACCTGCAGTGCTTTACTGTACACGAGCAAAACAGTGCCACTGCTCCTTGCTCAAACCTGAAATAGAACTTGAGGGGAAGCCTTTCAGCACTCCGGGTGTTGAGGGTTTTATGTTACTTTGGGGACCTTGTACAGAAAGGGGATGATGGGAATGGATCGTTAGCTCCTGTGAGACTTTGGTTTTGGCTGTTAGTACATGGGTCTCTCAGCTTACATGGGAGAACTTTGCATTTTCCTCCCACCCTCAAATTGCTAGCAGGATTATGGGATTGTATGGGTCTATTCCAGCGATTCAGACAGAAAACTTGCTTGAGAGTGTATTATTCATAGTGTACTGTAATGTAGAGGCTTAACGTTCTTACATAGCAAAGCTTAGCGTTTAAATATTTCTTTACAACAGGTTTTATGGAAAGAACTCTTCCTATGTCCATGGTGGCTTGGATTCCAATGGAAAACCAGCTGATGCAGTCTATGGGCAATCTGTAAGTACTTAAAAAAAAAAAAAGGCTGTTCTTTCCTTCTGTTTTGTCACCTTTGTGGTTGACAAGAGAAATATATCCAGCTGTGATTCATCCTCCCTCTGTCCAAGTGCTTTCTGGAAAAAAAAAACCCAAACAAAATAAACTGTCTTAACTGTAAACAGCAATAGTTAGGCAAGATTTATTGGGAAGCTCATAATGTAAAATTGCTTGCAAAGCAAACTTAGAAAGGATGCTGCCAAGCTTTCTCTCCCGACTTAGGGAATATATTCTAAACTAGTATTTTATGGTTTTGCTTTCTTTGAAAACTGTTAACAAGCAGAAGTGGCTTCTGCAGTGTAACCCATCTGTAACCATCCTTTCCCAGGACATCCACAAGAAGGTGCTGTCATTAAACTTCAAGGATTGCCACACAAAGATCCGTCACGTGGATGCTCACGCCACCCTCAACGATGGTGTTGTGGTGCAGGTGATGGGGGAGCTCTCCAACAACATGCAGCCTGTGCGCAGGTTCATGCAAACCTTTGTGCTCGCACCTGAGGTACGTTGTCCTGAGGGCCTGGGGTGTTACAGTGCTTCTGGAACCCTGCCAGGATCCGTGAGCTCTGTCTGGTTCAGTGTTGGAATCTGCAGGGTTAGGCTGGGGACGTAGCTTGCCACTAAACTCAGCAGTAGCGTTCTGAAAATTCCTTTGGGAATTATGCTACTTCTGTATGATTGTACATTAACCTTGGATATCAAAATTAGAGTTGTAAATATCCTGACTTTTGACTCCTAGTGTGCAATGCGTATTTTTTCTTGAGCATATTAAAGTTATGTTATCTTTGCTTTGCTCTCCTAGCAACTGGTCACTGAAAAGAACTAGTAGAAAAAGGGGAATGTTTCCTGTCATTTGAAAACATGGGTTCCAGATTTCCTTGTTGTATAAAGTGCTGATTTAGCATTTGAAGTGGCATTTTTAAATAGTCAACATTTTTTAACAAAGTAGTTCACAGAATTGAAAATGATAATGAAAAAGGAATGTTGCAAGGTTATATTCCAATATGACTTGGACATAAGAATTGATACTTTTGACAGTAGGAAGTTGTCATTCATGCTTTTTCAGTGTTGTGAGCTATTGGAATTAAAGCACTAATACAATTTTTTTCCACTGTTTCATGCAAAGTTGTTAGTGTCATGTGTCTGTCTTGTTTTCCTGCCTCACATAACATATTTTGTCAAAAGAGGCAAATTTGGATTAATCTTAGGTGGGAAGGATGATTTGTTTCTTGTTTTCACTTTATTTCAGTTCTTGCATTACTGAATGGATGTAATTGAATCAATTTTGCTTCTAGGGTTCTGTTGCAAACAAGTTCTATGTCCACAATGATATCTTCCGCTACCAGGATGAGGTTTTTGGGGACTCTGACACCGAGCCTCCAGAGGGTAAGTAGCAGAAATTTTTGGATGGTTCTGTTGTTTAGTTTGTTTCTGTATCTATATCAACATTCTATACCCTGACCAAAGGAAATTACCTTGCTGGAGAAGACAGATCGGTGTTAACTTTTGTGTGCTTGTAGGTGTTTTTTTTTTCCTTCCCTGTAGTTTCTTTACACTCCAGCAGGGAGTTGTGACATGCAGATGATTATTTTTCTGGCATATTCTGTTTCTATTAAAAGAATTGTAAGACTTATTTTGGCAGTTGCAGTCAGATTTGTAGGCTATAAATCTGGTTCTCTGAAGTATTTGGAACATGTTGTTTAAACTTGGTCAAAACTGAGTAACCAAAGTGATAGTGGAAATATAAGGAAATGCCTGTTCCATGTCACATCTTGGTAGTGCTTCCCATGTGCTCTTTGGCAGAGACTTCACCTGCATGTTGTGGTAGGTGCCTTGTCTCTGAACCTCACAGTGAAGATGTGTGTGATGTATTGTTTTGCTTTTCTAACCTTATTTAGAATCAGAAGAGGAAGGGGAGGAACCTGAGGAAAGACAGCAGACACCTGAGGCTGTTCCTGATGATACTGGTGCTTACTACGAGCAGGCTGTCAGGTAATAGTATATTTATAGGTGAAGCCAGATGTTGTGTAAGACAGGCTGCTTGTAGAACAGGTCAAATGAATTTATTGCTATTCATGGTTTTCCTTTTGGAGTCAAAGATTTCTGTTTATTGGTCAGCTGAAACCAATATGCTGTTAGGCTGAACATGGAGACTGGGTTTTTTTCGCTCTTTACAGCATAACAATGCAGATTTGCATCCCTGTGCAATGTGGCCTTATTTAGATTAGCCTTGTTCTTCTCTCATGTGCCTGACTTTTCTATTGGACAAGTAGGATTCCTTAGCACCAGTAATAGAATAAATACAATGCCACCTCTTTCTTGCTTTTTGTGCTGCTGTATAATAGCAATGACATTGAGGAACACCTGGAAGAGACGACTGCAGAGGCAGAGCCTGAGCCAGAGGCAGAACCTGAACAGGAACCTGAACCAGAGGCACAGGAAGAAAAGTCTGAGCCAGTATTAGAGGAGTCAGCTCCAGAAGAGACTGTGGAAAAGAGTCCTTCTCCAGCTCCTGCTGATCCAGCTCCTGCAGTGCAAGAGGACTCAAGGGTAATGACAATGGATGAGTCATTTCCATGATATGGTCGCTTCATCAGTATGTTTGGCTCTCCTGTCTTTTTTCAGAGCATCCTCTCTCTGTCAAGAGAAATATATCTGGAATTAAGTGTTTGAATGCTCTAATTCCTCACCCCCCCTAATTACTCTGCTTGTGACCAATTGCCTCCTTCCTATTTGTTTGTATATGATAGCAGGTTGAAACTGTAGTTGGTAATAGTTGGTTAAAACACCAGGAGCTAAGGTCAGGCTTTGTGTATTTGGTAGGTATGGGAACTGTGTGGCAGCAGGGAGAGGCTCAGATTGCTTGTTTGTAAACAGAGCTGCTGAAATTCTGAACAGATTGTAACCAACATGCTGAGTCAGGAAAATGGGTGAAATGTGACTTTATTTCTACCTGGGGATATTTGTCGCTCCTCAGTGTTAAGGGAGGCAGAAGTGGAGAGATTGTGACTCGTGAAACCAATACTTTGGTTAACCTTGATGTGCTGCTTGGTCTTGGGCCACTGCTGTGTCCTATTTCAACTCTATGTAGAATTTAGAAGTAGGGTGGAAGTGTGACTCCATTGTCATTACACAAAGTCTTTTGAATTTAAATGATTTGAAGGAAGTTGCAGGGAAACTAGTGGCTGGATCCTGAATTTCAAGGATAGGTTAAAATTTGTTATCCTGTGTCTGTTAGCTGTACTATCAGGACTATATTTCAAAAGGAGATGTAGTTGTATTATTATCTTTTTCTTTAAGACATTTTCCTGGGCATCAGTAACCAGCAAGAACCTTCCTCCCAGTGGGGCTGTTCCAGTATCGGGAATACCACCTCATGTTGTGAAAGTACCAGTCTCCCAGGTAAGAATCCAGCACCTGGAGAAGTTTGTGCTGAACTGGCTGACAGTAAATGGAGGTGGGGAAAAATATAGTGAAATCTACTTGCTTATGGATCTGACTTCTCAGACTCCAGAGACTTTAAAATTCTGTGGTTCCTGATAGACTTGTTAAAGATGTTATTCTCTGGCTTTTGGGTTGAGAAGTAGTTGTTTCTCCTGGAGGAAAACCAAGGAATGTTCATATGAGTGCTGCTTGCTTTTAGCATATAAGCCAGTGGGAGCTAACCTGTATTTTTTTCACAGGTGTAAAGAACTATTATTTTTTCCTGTATTCTATCAAAAACTTGACAGCTCTTAACAGCTGAACCCTACTGGTATGTCTGTCTGACACTCAACTGCTCACTGCTTTTTGAATCCATACAGCCCCGCCCTGAGGCAAAGCCCGAGTCTCAGACCCCACCTCAGAGACCTCAGAGGGATCAGCGAGTGAGGGAGCAGCGAACAAGCATCCCACCGCAGAGGGGTCCTAGGCCAAGTAAGAGAAGCTACAAAGAACAAGATGTTTTCTACTGTTTAAAGGGTTTTGGGGAAGCAATGGGATGTTTAAAGCTTTTGAAACCTCATTATTTTTGTTACTAGGCAAATGACTTCAAGTGTTTGGCCTCCTTCAGGTGATAGAAAGCAAACAGTTACAAACTTGCTAGTATAGCATGCTTACCTTTTTATATATATGAATGGATAAGTAGTGTGAATTCTGATTCTTGTATGTGGTGCTAATCCTGACCATGGCTTGCTTTTCTCTTTGTTCTGGGGAGTGGCTTTTCTTAAATAAGTTTCACTTTTCTGTTCAAGTTCGCGAGGGTGAACAAGGCGATGTGGAAACCAGACGGATTGTGAGATACCCAGACAGTCATCAGCTTTTTGTTGGGAACCTTCCCCATGATGTGGACAAATCTGAACTTAAAGACTTTTTCCAAAGTAAGCTGGTTGCTTTGCTGCCCTGAGGGGGTTGGGGGTTGCAGCCATAGGTGTGGTCAACAGAGCATTCTAATGTATGACCCAAGAACTTGGCTTTTCTCTTGCAGGCTATGGCAATGTTGTTGAACTCCGCATCAACAGTGGCGGAAAGCTCCCCAATTTTGGGTTTGTGGTGTTTGATGATCCTGAACCAGTTCAGAAGATCCTTAGTAACAGGGTAAATAAACTTCTAGTCAGTGCTTTTTGGTGTGTTGACAACAGACTGTGTTTTTCAGATTAACAGGGAAAGATTGTACTTGGTCCCGCTGGCCTTTCTAGTGCATATTAAAGTAGGTGTGATGTCTGTCTCTCTTGTTACCAAGGTTTGTGCAGCATTTGTACAGATGGAGTCTTTTGTCATTGAAGTAGGTTGTAACAACTTAGGTCAACATGAATTTATTCATTACAGAGCCTTTTTCTAAGGGGAAGTTGCTGAACACAGGAAGCAGCTAAATAGCTTTCAGGAAGGTAGAGAAGAGTCTGATTCTATGGACAAGTAGAATCTTGTTTGTCAAAGAGGTCGAAAGGAAGAAGCTGTACTGGTGTGTAGGCTGAAAACAATTGTGCTAACAAAGGCAGGAGGTACCTGCTCAGCCTGTCAGCAGTGATTGCTAATGCAGAGTGTGCACCCATGACTGCATGGTAGGCAATGAGTCTGGACACACTTAAGGAAGCACCCCTATGAGCATCCTGATCTTGATTTACCCCTGCAAGAGTCCTAGGGCTGCTGGGCTTCATGTACACTGACTCATCAGCACTGCCACGACCGCTGCTGGCATCCCACAATGAAAGGTGTCTGCCCACATGAAACATCCCAAGCTCAGATCAAATCTCAAGGCTTAAAAATCTGCACCCAAGTTGCCTTTCACCTTAAGCACAGAAATTTACTGGCTATGCTTCTGTGCAGTGAGGAAGCAGAGAAGAAAGGATGTCCTTGGTGAAGATCTGGGCTGTAAGCAAGCACACGGCAGTTTAACACACCTCCTACCCTGCTTGGAACAGCACTGAATTCTCTTTGTAGTATCCACTGTGGGAATTACCTTGCAGATAGGCTCAGTGCTTTGAGCAAACATGTCTGGAAACTCAAGGAGTTTTTTTCAGGATAAGGCCTTGGTAGACAGCCAGCCAGTAAAGCTAAACTTGATGTCTGCTGCCTGATGTGAAATGTGGGTGTTTACACGAAACATGGTGTGCTGGTCTTTGCCCTCCTCAAGCCATCAACTGTGCTGCACAATGTGTTCCATCCTTCAGTCTGTTCTTCTACAGTTAGTTCAGCAGATGTGAATGGCTTGTCTTTCCATTGGATGAGAAAGCATTGTGCCTGTAGCAAGGTTGGGTCATATTTTTCATGTTCTTGTGTGGAATAATTTGAAACAAGCGAGTCCTTAGTCCTGTAGTTGGTGGATTCTTGCAGACTTCAACTTTTTGTCTGGTTGCAAATGAGATTTGTGGGATGTTGCAGTCCTGCTCCTCTTTGGTTTTGCTTCACTGAGGTTTCTCGATCAACCAGCCACTTGTCACTGCAGTTCTAAAAACATTAGCTTGACCGAAGTGAAGGACTTGACTGGCCTGTGCAGCAAGGTGGCAGAGAGATCTGACATTCTTCATGCCATGGGAAAAATCATCTGGGACTCTGCATGGTGGTAGACTCAGTTGCCAATAGTAATGAAAGGAGATTGCTGTTAATAGTGCAAGTCCTTTTCTAAAACATGTCAGAATGCTCAGTGTTAAGCCTGAGATTGCTTTTTCAATGTCACTCCTTTGCATCTTTATACCTTCTCCAGTAAAGCCGCAAGACTGGATGCCTAGTTTGACTATTGCCATTGTTTAGTAAGCAATCCTAAAACACTTCAGTCTTTCATGGAGAGGATATGAGACAAGGTTGCAGGAATCTGCTTGACCTTGAAGAGCTACTGGTGAGTCATTACTGAAAGTCCCTTCTCTGCTTTCATTGCAGCCCATCATGTTCAGGGGAGAGGTGCGCCTGAACGTGGAGGAGAAGAAGACACGAGCTGCCAGGGAGGGTGACCGCAGAGATAACAGACCTCGTGGACCCGGAGGCACTCGTGGGGGGCTGGGAGGTGGGATTCGAGGGCCTCCACGTGGAGGAATGTCCCAGAAGCCAGGATTTGGAGCTGGAAGGGGGATTGGGCAACGCCAGTGAAGGCATCGAGGATGTTGACACGGAGGCGCAAACCCTTTTTCCTGCAGATTTGTGAATTTCAGCCTTGGGTATCTTGGAATGTGGCCCTAGCCTGTTATAGACTGCTACGTTTGATACTATTTTGGCCCCTTTTTGTTTGTGTTATGGTTCTGTGATTTATTTTTTTTCTAGTCCTTGTCCCAGATTCCAGCTTTGTGGAACAACGTTTTAGGAAAAGTGGATTTTAAAAAGAGAAGAACTGAGTTTTCTTGTTCACCTCAAACTTACGGACTGAATTTTTTTGGTACCAGTGGTTTTTCCTAAAGGAATGTCTCTACTTTTTTTCTTTTTTTTTTTTTTTTCTCTCCCCTTTCTACTGAGTTTGGGTGCATTTCAGTCAGTGGAATCGTATTTCACGTGCATGCGTTCAAGAGCCTATAGGAAAACATAGTACTTGGCAAGTATTTCAAGGGCAGAAAAAAAAAAAACTATTGATGTTTCTTTGAGGGTCATATGAACATCCTCTGGTGTGGAGATATTGCCACTTGAAAAATTGACTTTCACCTTTCTCTTTGTGGCGCTGTAAGAGTGGAATAATGGGTATCTGTAGAATCTCTTTTTCTTTTGATACATGATCACAGAAAGGAATTCGAACTACTGTTTTACCACTTTGAAATTTTGGATTGTGGGATAGCTTTTAAATGTCTAGAACTTGACTCTTCAAACACTTTTCCTGAACTTGTGAAATTTTTTATTGAAATAGGGAGTTTTTTTCATGTTTAGTTTGTATTTGTATAAAAAAAAAAAGCAAAATTGTTGTGCCTTCTATTTATCTCTCATTCCAGTTTTGGCAAATTGTTTTAAAAAATAAAAATAAAAAAGGTCTAGATTTGCTTTATCAAGTCAAGAGTATGTTGGAGTTTTTCCAAGGGGAAGAAGTTCTTCCTTCAGTCACTAGGTCTACTAGGTGGAGGTGGTTATAGCTAAAGTTTTTAATACCTTCTGTGCATCAGCTTAGCTGCATTTAAGTAATTGAAAACAAGCCTTTTTTGGATGCAGAATTTAATAACTTGAACTCGAGGCTGGGCAGGTCGTGTTACAAATGTTGCAGAAATACAACGGAAGAAGAAACACCTCTGTCACATCCTTTACAGTTCCACCTGTTGTATGCAGTAGAGTTATTTTTGCAGTACTTCATTCCTTGCTTCTGCCAGACCTGAAGTGGATCAGATGGCATTTTTGTCAGAAGTACAGAAGGTGCCTGTCTGTCCTGGTGTCAAGATGTCGAATGGTCTCCACTGCCTCTGAAAGAAGATGAAACTGAAAGTAAAATACAGAACTGGGTAATTCCAATTCAGGAGATGCTATGAGATTGTGCTGCACAAAGCACTATTTATGCAGTGCGTGGTGTTAAACATCCGGATGAAAACAGCAGTTTTGTGTCTACACCAGACCTTCAGATCTCTTGGTAGTACAGAAGAGCTGCTTACTTATCTGTGTCAGGTTTCATTGTGTCCATGTTTCCTTGGTTTATTACTATGACTGTGCACATGCAGTGTGTTGTCTCTTGACCTGTGCTTGCTGTAAAGCTGGAGCAGAGCTGCCCTCGCTATTACCTGTTCTGAACAGTCATTTTTTGCCTTTGACTTGCCAAACTTAGTGGTTGAACCTGGTTGTACTATATGTTGGTAGAGTGTTGGTTTCTGTTTTATCTTTCTCTTCAGAGTTGGTGCACTGTTTGTCCCTTCCCTCCTTACAAATGTGTCTTAGCTTAGCCTGCTTACCATCTGTACCTGAGGATTTAAATAGCTTAGTGAACTGGGGGAGAGTGCAGTGTGAGTGTGGTGTGCTCTCACAGCCAGCATTCTGGAAATTCTGCAGCTCAATCACAGTAATTTACTCCCTCTTTCTAAAAATGATTCAGTACATTTTAAAAATAGAGTTAGGTTTTTTTTTTAAAAATTCCAAACAGGAAAGAGGTTGCTTTCTGTAATGGTACTTGCATTCTTTGTCTCAAAAAAACCTGTACATTTCATATATTTCAAATATGTACAATGTCTGAAAGGTTTATGCACTGATACTGAATATAAAGCACCCATGTGCCTTTCAGAAAACCACTGTTAAATCCCCAGAAAACTGAATCACTGTAATTTACTGACTGATGCCTGGGTGGTGTTGACAGCTGCTCAGTAGATGTACTGACAATATCCTTTTGCTGTTGCCTCCTACCATGGAACCTTTGCTCACCCTCCTGGACTCAAGGTGGGAAATGCCTCCATGTCACCCACTCCAGGTGCTTGCTTGGAGAGAACAAGAGTTCCTGGACCTGGCAGTTCAGTGTTTTCTCTGTAAGTTGCTGTTTTACTTGTTCACTTCTGCCCCAGGCTGATGTACCGGCTGACATCCCTTTATGCCTTGGGGGGAGGCTGCTCACCCAAGAGACCTCTTTTTCTGGAGGGCAGATGCCCAGGTCTCTTTACCTGATACCTCACTTTCTAAGTGGTTTTCTTCCTCCATAACATGTAATGTGCAATTTGGGTGAGACCAAAGTTAAAATAACTATCAGGAAGTTGAATGTTTCAGTTTTGCTTTTGTTTCCAGCCTTCCAAAGTGCTGCTTTATTAAATAAAACAAGGAGCAGCTTGAAGTAGAAGAAAACCTACACAAGCTGTTTTTCCTGTGTGCAACATAAATTCTTTTTAAGGGACAAATAAACCACTGAGGACTAAAAGCCTTAGATGGTTTTGCTACATGTTAAGTGACCTTGGTTACAGATGACTTAAATGGTCAGTGGTGATATGTAAATAATTACAGGAGGATCATTTATGGATGCTGTAAATCATGGGGCAGCATTTGTTTTAAAGGAAGTGGGGGCAAAAAAAGTTTTGCCTACTTATTTTCTTCCTTGTCTATTCCCCTTGCTTACACTGGCTTTTTTTTTTTTACTTTTTTTTGTCATTTAACTGCATGCAAAGTCAGAGTGAATGAGAGACAATCTTAAAACAGATAAGAGATGACAGAGAATGTGTTCAAAACCAAATTATGCAGTAATCTGATAGTGGCAGTAAAGATGTTATCAAACCAGAAATAATGCTGTAAGTCATCATCTTTTCTCTGTAATTTTAACCTCTGCTAAATACCTAATAAATTACTAGAAGGATATGAACTGGGTGAAAATATGGAAAAAATAAAAATAGTTCTAGGGTTTGACAACTTCTTTAAATTGATGTGCCATTTCATCAGTTAGCTCCATGATTTAATTAATTGACTAAACTGCTCCATTATAACAGATATCACTAAATTGACTATTACTTTCCTGCCCATATGTGCTTACTTTTATTGAAGATGTTGCTGTACAAACCAACGTGATCCTAAGTAAAAACATAATTATGTCTACTGAATTTTTTTGGGGGGGGAGCAAAAAAAAAGCTTTTTTGATATGACTCCCATTCCCCCATCCAAAAAAAAACCTTCAAAAATAATCAGCAACAACCCTTAACCAACAAACCAAAAAAAACAACCCCCAAACCCACTGTAGTTGCATAACTCACGTTTGTTAAACCTGTATTTGCATCCTGACATTTGGACTCACAGAGAGGAGAAATTCTACAGCCATTAATGACATAGAGTAGTTTTTCAACAGTATTCCCTGTATTTCTTCTTTTTCTGAAGCTGTATGTTGTGGGTCAGCTGACAGGAAGGGTTGGGGACATGAGAGGTGATACTGCCTGTAAGTTTAATTTTCAGATAAATAATGGGTGTTTTAATTCTCAGAGTGGCATAGGAGAGAGAACCTGCTGGTTGCATCATGATGCTTCTGGCTTCTAGATGTTACACTATTTGAAAATTGGCTTACTGTAGAATCTGCTCATGTTTTCCTAAGAAAATAATTGTCATTGGGATGCCATATCACTGAATGGGAGGGGAACACTGCTGCACATCCTCTTGAGTAACGCACACTGTGCTCTTGCTGCAGCTGAGACAGGTAAGAGTTCCTCACACCTGTCCTGTAGCCTGAAACACTGGGTTTAGCTCATCCTGCTCTTCCCACAACACTGCTCCAGCACCAGTTGAAAGTCATTCACTCAGTAAGACAGTTTATGGCAAATGTTACAGTAAAAGCTGGAAATACAGGATCTAGTTACTGCACAACTTAGGCACTTCTTCCTATGGAAATCAGCAGGAGTCAAGAACCAAGATATCTCTGTAGATTGAAGGCAGGTCTGGGAGGTCTGTGCCCACCTCCATGCAGGATATGCAGTGCTGGCACAGTGGCTCTGTGTCACCCTCCTGTCACAAGAGGGTTGTGCTGGCTGATGCTCTCACCCCCGAAATTCTGCCCTCCTGCAGAAAGATGCAGTTACACATTTACACTCCCTGCTCCCAGAGGCAGTTTCTCCAGATGACCCCCAATGACTCTTGGTTATGGTGCCTGACACTGCCACTCTGTTCCCTGCAACCAGATGGAATAATAGGAACTGGGAGTCCTGGCAGCATCCCCCCTTCTGTCTCGCACACAGCTGCATGGTGTGTGCTGTGAGACTGGTGCACAGGAACAGCAGGAGCAGGCTTTCCCTGTCATTCCTACCGCTTTCAAGTGATGTGTGTAGCTCCAGTAAAAGAGGTTTTTGTGGTGAAACTGAAAACTAAAACCAGATTAAACTCTACTTACCTATGTGCAGTGGTCATTCCCATACAAATACAAGCCACTGTAGGAATGTGACAGGAATTGTTGAAATTCTTTTACTGTGCAGAATACTTTAAAAGTGAATTTATATGCTGTATGGGGTTTTGTTGTACTACTGTGCTATTTTGTGTTTAATTTTTGGGCAATGTGGCTTGCCTCTTTAAGATCACTTTGTGCTACTATATTGTATATTTGAGACAAAGAGCAGTCTGTGGGATATTTTGGTCTTGAACCTGTTGAGTAAAAAGGCCCTGCTTGTCTAAGCACCAAGAAATGTCAAACAGAGGTTTTGAGGAAGCACCATTACCTTGAGAAATGCAAGATTAGTGTCTGTGTGAGACTGGATACAACAAGATTTCCTCAGTGAGAGATTAAATCTTTCACTGAATATTGACCCTTCTGCCTCCCACCCAGCTCAGCATTTTACATTTTGCACTGCATTGCAAAGTCTGTGGAACAGGGAATATTTCTTACTGTGTTGGTGCACTGCATTGTACAATGGACCCCAGTCTCGTTTGGATCCTCTCTTGAGCCTTTTTGTTTCATCATCCAGAAGCGAATTACTCATATTGAATTTGCAACGCAAATGTGACAGCACTCTGCCAGTCACACAGAGCGTAAGAATAGAAAATTGTTCAAGAGTCCAAATATAATTCATTAATTTTCTACTCAAGAATTAATTATTTCAAACATATATTTCAAAAGATAGCTTATGCATAGTTGCAGCCATAGTTTGGGTTTGGGGAAGCCAAAGTAGATCTACATCTGTAGAATCAAGCTGATCTATGAAGATGTTTTAGAAAATACTGCTAAAAATACTTCTAAAAACCACCACAATAATTAGAGAAACACAATACTGTTAATCACACAATGAAGTGTTGGATTTATATTTTTCAGAATTTTATATATATTATTTAAATATTTTTTATATTTTTCAGAATTTGAATTTGAAATTTGAAATTGAAAATTAAGCAGTAAAAGCTGCAAATACATTCCTAGACGCCTTGCAATGAAAAGATACTATTTTAATATGTTATTAGGAAAGTGCCTAGAAATCAACTTCTAATGTACTACATTGATATTCTAATAATGTATTATAATAAAACTTTTATATTGATAAGTTGGAGTTATATTAAGTGGCATCTCTTGTTTTTGAAACAACATATTGGTTAAAATAATCCTTTAGGATAGTTTTGTTGAGTCTGGATTGACACAAGGAA